TTTTAGCCTCCAGTCCCCTAATCATCTTTGTTGCTCTTCTCTGTACTCTTTCTAGAGTCTCAGCATCTTTTTTACATCGTGGTGACCAAAACTGGATGCAGTATTCCAAGTGTGGCCTTACCAAGGCATTGTAAAGTGGTATTAATACTTCACGTGATCTTGATTCTATCCCTCTGTTAATGCAGCCCAGCACTGAGTTGGCTTTTTTGGCAGCTGCAGCACACGGCTGGCTCATATTTACTAAGTTAGATAATGAAACATCTGCAAGCAAACATCTGCAGAGGTTCAGAGACCCTCAAGAATTCCAGTTTTCTTTCCAATGTCAAAGCAGAGAAAGTGTGGATTCAAAAACCTAAAAGACAAGTTGCAATAAATAGGTTTGCATAAAACCTATCGACTAAGCCTGCAACTTTCACCTTGGAATATAAACTGTTGTGGGATCACTGAACACAAAGGCTATTTTACAAGATTCAGAATTTGCTACCTGTTTTAAGTTTTCAAGGCTGTTTAAACGTGTGGTATTCCTTTGTTGGAAGTAAATCCCAGCTGTACCGTACTTTTTCTCTTTTTAATTTCTTTCATAGCAGGCTATAAACCGGATCTCCTAAGCTCAGGGTAGGGCTATACTGACATATGAGATCTTCTAATAAATTATTGCTTCAAGTTTTTTTCCCCCAAGGGATCATTTGAAAATCTATTTTGTATGGAGAAAATATGGTAATGATGATTTTTGAGTGACTTCAGTTAATCAAATACTAATAACTTTAATGTTCATATATATTGTTTATGGAAATCTATATTCTATTCTTAACAAGAAAAAATGCCAACACCTCACTGAGGTTATAAGACAAAAGAAACAATTAGGAAGAATGTTCTCTTTTTTACTTTTTCACTTCTTAGTGCCAATATATTGCCTGTATGAAACTGAAGACTGAAAAATTACATCTCTTTTGAACTTCTCCTATTCCATAACTTGCCTGTTAAGTCATTAGTCCTGTTGTTTAAGCAATAGCAGTACCGTGTGGAGAACTTGGTAGGATCTATGTTCCTTAAGCTGGATACTGCAAAGAAAAAAATATTATGGAACATAAAATCTTATCCACCAAAAGAAGAAGAGAGCCAGTTTGGTTAAGGTGTTGGATTAGAAACCAGGAAACTGTGAGTTCTAGTCCCACTTTAAGCATGAAAGCTAGCTGGGTGAATTTGAGCCAATCAACAGTAGACAGTGGGTTCTAGTACTGCCTTAGACATGAAAGCCAACTGGGTGACTTTGGGCCAATCATCAGGACACTGTCCCATCTTAAGTATGAAAGCCAGGTGTGTGACTTTGGACCAATCACTAGGAGACGGTGAGTTCTAGTCCCACAATAGGCATGAAAGCCAGCTGGGTGACTTTGGCCCAATCACCAGGAGACAGTGAGTTCTAGCCCTACCTTAGATATAAAAGCCAACTGAATGACTTTGGGCCAGCCCAACTCGCTTCACGGATTTGTTATCATAGGGATAATTGGAGGAGGAAGAAGTATTAGGTATTTTACCACTTTGAATTACTTATAAAAATAATAAAGACAGGATATAAACAAACATGCAAAGAAGCAAAAACTCTATCAGGTCCCAATTATCATTAACTTACTGTTGTAGAGGACAATGGACACTTTGTGGAAGGCATATGAACTGTAAGATACAATGCTTAGCAAAGAGAAGAATTCTTTAGTTCCTGTGGGAATACAATTTAAAAACAATCACCCTGCTCATAATTAACAGAGTCTCATGGAAACTAATTTTCTATCCCTCTTATGCAGGGTTACTAAAATGACTTGTGAATATTTAGGCACCATGGGAATCCATAATACATTTCACTCCCCAAGGTTCTGATAAAATTTATTCTCTGGAATCCCTGATGACTAGATAATAAAGACACTGCCATGTCAGCAGCCCAGAAAGAGATGGATAATTGGCAGGTAGGACTCAGACCTGGGATAGATTTGAGGGAGACATGTGGAACACAAAGATACTTGCAAATAAATATTTCTGGGGCTTGCAGGTGCAGTACATGCACTCTTTAAATATTGTCATGTTCCCAGTGAGGCCATCAGATTTCTGACTTTGAAATGTCAAAACATAACAGAGTTATTTTACATTCATTTGGAAGTTGGTCTACATTATATAGAAGCCGTGGTGGCGCAGTGGTTAGAATGCAGTATTGCAGGCTAACTCTGCCCACTGACGGGAGTTCGATTCTGACCAACTCAAGGTTGACTCAGCCTTTCATCCTTCCGAGGTGGGTAAAATGAGGACCCAGATCGTTGGGGTCAAGATGTTGACTCTGTAAACCGCTTAGAGAGGGCTGTAAAGCGTTATATAAGTCTAAGTGCTATTGTTATAGCTATATTTTCTTGGTAAGGACAAGAGGTTAGAGCAGGTTTTGGGCCAATGGCTTCACTTCATATGCATTTCTCTTTTTCCTATTTCTTTGTCTGCTGGTTGAATGTGATTTATCAAAGAGAAAAAAGTAGTCAAACTACCTCTGAGAGCGGTGTTTAGCATGCCATTCACCATCTCCGTCAGGTTCATTGCTGCCAGATCAACCAATTTTGCAGGGAGCTCTGAAAAAGGAAAAATACATATAGTCCTTGATTTGCAACCATTCATTTAGTGACCGTTCCAAGTTATAACGGCACTGAAAAAAGTGACTTATGACCATTTTTCACATGACCATTGAAGCATCTCCTGGGTCATGTGATCAAAAATCAGACACTCGGGCCACTGGCTCATATTCACCTTTGCACCCATTTGGGGCAAGCATGCAATGTCAGCATGCACGTAGATAAGGTTTTGCACTATGGCCATGAAACATTGTTTGCTTTACTTTGACATTCCTCCTCCAGCAGTTTGGCAGTTCAATTCTGACTGGCTTAAGTTTGGCTTAGCCTTCCATCCTTCCAAGGTCAATAAAATGAGGACTGAGATTGTTGGGGGCAATATACTGACTCTAAAGAGGGTTGTAAACAGTGGTGGGATTCAAATACCTGAACAACCGGTTCTCTTTTTGGATGCAAGCCTGAGCCTCCAAGGCCTAGAATGGACTTCCGGAAGTGGCATTCATGCACTTCCGGCAGGCCATTCTAGGCCTGGGAGGCCTCTGTCAGGCCTCCAAGACCTAGAAAGGACTTTCGTAAGTGGCATCCATGCACTTCCGGTGGGTTGTTCTAGGCCTGGAAGGCCTCTTCCAGGTCTCCCAGGCCTAGATCGGACTTCCGGAAGTGGTATCCATGCACTTCCGGCAGACCATTCTAGGCCTGGGAGGCCTCCTCATGACCTCCGAGGCCTAGACTGGACTTCGGGAAGCACTGTGCATGAAGCCGGTTCTCTGAACGCAGCAAAATTTAGCTACCGGTTCTACTGAACCGGTGCGAACTGGCTGAATCCCACCACTGGTTGTAAAGCACTATGAAGAAGTATATAAGTCTAAGTGCTATTGTTTTCTCCTTCCCTTGTGAATTTTATACCACTGAAGATGTTGTTGATGGTTTTGTGTATGTTCTCTAGTTGGTTTTTACCATTTACATATCGGATCTTGTCTTATCATACGTCTGTCTGTCCATCTGTCTATTTTTATCTATTTAATTCGTACACACAAACATACACTCACAAACACAAAAGTGCCTATATAAAACCAGAATTAACTGAGACCATTAAAGTAGGTCAGCGAAGCAAAATATTTTGTAAATCTGGCTGCATATTTCTTATTGGCTACTTAATCATACACTAAGTAATCCTATAATCAATTTGGTAGAATAAGTTTTGTTTCTGCTCATGGGAAAGTCACCCCAAATCCCTAAATGGCCTCGAATGACTACCAGAGAAGAATTAAAGAGAGCGATAAGCAGCTGTAGAAAAATAGTTACAGTCTGCTTGCAATGTCAAAGGGAATCACAATTTTCCTACAGAGCTGTTGTTGATTATCGTCTATCTAATTCTCCCACCTTTGCAACAATTCTGCCATTTCTAATTCAGAACAAGCCTGCAGAAAGACAGGGAGGAAATGAATTCTCTGAAAAGAATTTACCTGCGGTTGCCATTACAACAACTCGCTCTTCTTTCTTATTTTCTCTCTTTGTGCTTGCAGCTACAAAAACAAAATAATTTCAATTTCAGAAATAGACTCCTGAGAAAATGTGTCCTTTATGTCCCTCTCTATTAAAAAAAAATCATGATAATGTATAAAATATCTTGTTTGAAAACGGTACTTTATTAGATGCGGAATCAAAATTATGGCATTCATAATACAATTTGCTGGGGGGGTGGAATTAACACTATACCAGGTAAATGAAAGGTTCAGCAACGACATTTGTCCAATGTTCAAATTTAATTAATATTAATCTTGGTTAGTTTTTTCCCCCGATGTAGCACGTGGGTTTAGCCCACCACTTTTGGCTAGTTTACGATTCAGTATTTTGTGAGGCAAGGGATTGCAGGGTGGTTAAAAGAAAAAATATTATATATTCTGTGAGCCCACAACATAACTCTGTTGTGAAAACACAGCCATAGCTTATTACTTACCCAAGCTAGATGTAAAGCAGAAGTATAAAAAGATGATGGATAAATTAACACCACCACGCAGGGAAAACCATGGCATTTTGGAATCTGCTTTTCTGAGAAATTATCTAGAGAAAGAGAAGAGAGACAGTGAATCTGACAGAAATGTCTTAAGCAAAATGGCTGTTGTTTATTTTTCCATTAACGGAAACACCACTGGAATGAAAAGGGATAGCTTTACATGTACACTGAGTGCTCTTGTACTGGAGAAAAATTCCTTGTGTGTCAAATTACATTTGTCCAAATAAAGTTCAATTCAATTCAATTCAATTCATACATTGCCCCTCCAAGTTCCTCTTTTCCCAAGCCGTTGACTTTTGAATGTCTGCAAATCATTTATTTATTTGTTTGTTTGTTTGTTTATATTTGTAAAATTTATTGGCTGCCCATCTTACCACTGTGTAATTTTGGATGGCTTACAATCATAGAAAGGTACCGTACATATATACATATACATATACTCCCTTTTTAAAACTCTGTAATCACTTAATTTGGAGTAGAGTTGGGGGTGACTGTATGGAGCTGAGCGTTTGCTGGCCAGATGCCCTTCCTGACACCCAGGTGGAGTTCGCAGCGTACATACATACATACAAATAAGTTAATGTTAAATTAGTTGGAACATTCCTTCTTTTTCCAATCCAGAAAACCCAGAAGATCTTCTCCTGCATCTCTTCACCAGTTGCTGTGCTGAGCACAGCACCACACACACCGCACCAGAGCGAAGATATCAACCAGGGTGCTCTTAATTTCATCATACACCAAAGGTAATCCTTTTACAGCAAAAGATTGTTGAAGGCAGACTGGTAATTGTACATGAAAAAAAAGAAGATAATCACTTGAGGGATAGTCTGCATGAATCAATTTCAGATCTGAAGCAATCATCTGCATCCCTGGACATCCGAACGCAGCTAAGATGCTCTTAAACTATCATCAGGGCAAAATGGATTCACAGATCAAAAGGCATGATTAAAATAAAATCCCTGGTCAGGTTGCTCTCTAGCTGCTTTAAAATAGCCTCTCTGTTTGGCAGGACAATTATCCAAGTCTCTGAATTATTGGGGCATTTGGGAATGAATGAAAGATAAAGGCCAAAGAACATGTCTTTGAAGTTCTATCNGTGCCTCTTCCTCCTCTCTTCCAAGGTCAGCTAGACCTCGACTTACAACTGTTTGATGTTACAATGGACACCCCGAAAGATGCTTATCATCCAGTTCCTACAGCTGCCCCAAATCCCCCCCCATTGTCACATGACCACATTTAGGGCACTCAAAAATTGACCCACATTTACGGTCATTTGCAGTGCCCTGTGTCCACATCACCACAATTTACCTGTACAATATTTTGACCAAAGACCACCATTTATTTCCCCAAAGCGAACAATGGATTTGCTTAATGACCGCAGTGTTTGCTTTACAACCACTATGTTTGCTTAATGACCACTGCAAAAAAATTCATAAACACAGGTCTGATCACATGAGGACCCACTTTGCAAACATCACAACTGACAACTATAACGGACAGGCTCCATTTCTGTCATAAATCAAGAACTACCTGTACATCAAACCACAAGGGAGAGGGAATATATAAATAATTGTAAAAATACAAAGAGGACGCATAAGTCCATTTTTTTCTTTTTGCACACAGATATCTCCACTGGATTTTTAAGTGACGTGCCAAATCTGTACTCCAAAAATAGACAGGGCAAAAATAGGAATGAATTATCATTGAATTAGTTTTAAATGCAAATTGGCATCAGCAGCAATAACATTGCAGAAAAATAGATTTTAGTGACCGTAACCACAGTTTGGTGAGAAGCAAGATACATGACTTGCATTCTTATAACTTGCAATGATAGCTAAATTTCAATCAGAATAGAGCTGGAAGGATCCTTGGAGGTCTTCTAGTCCAACCCCCTGCTCAAGCAGGAGACCCTTTACAATTTCAGACAAGTGGCTGTCCAGTCTTTTCTTAAAAACTTCCAGTGATGAAGCACCCACAACTTCTGACAGCAAGCTTTTCCACTGGTTAATTGTTCTCACTGTCAGGAAATTTCTCCTTAATTCCAGATTGCTTCTCTCCTTGATTAGTTTCCATCCATTGTTTCTTGTCCTGCCCTCTGGTGCTTTGGAAAATAAGTTAACCCCCTTCTTCTCTGGGGCAGCCCCTCAAATATTGGAACACTGCTAATATGTTTCCCCTGGTCCTTCTTTTCTCTAGACCAGTGGTGGCGAACCTATGGCACGGGTGCCAGAGCCCTCTCTGTGGGCACACGCGCCGTCGCACCAGTCCTAGGCCTTCAGCTGGGTTTTATAAAACCTTTTCACTTTAGGCCTCCGCCGCCGTGTGCAAAAAAAAAACAGGTTCAATCAATCAATCAATTTCAACTTCTCGCAGAAAAAAAAAGATCTTGCAAAGTTGGAATTGATTGATTGAACTTTTTAGTCCCACCTAGTCTGCCGTTACCACCGCAGCCACGCCCACCCAATGGGCCACACCCACCCAATGGGCCACGCCCACCCGGCACCCGACGATGCATAAGTGGGTTTTGGGTTGCAGTTCGGGCACTCGGTCTCTAAAAGGTTCGCCATCACTGCTCTAGACTAGCCAAACTCAAATCCTGCAATTGTTCTTCACATGTTTTAGTCTCCAGGCTTTAATAATCTCAGTTGCTCTTCTTTGCACTTTTTCCAAAGTCTCAACATCTCTTTTGTAATATGATGACCAAAACTGGATGCAGTACTCCACATGTGGCCTTACTAAGGCTTTACAAAACAATACTCATANTCTTAAACTATCATCAGGGCAAAATGGATTCACAGATCAAAAGGCATGATTAAAATAAAATCCCTGGTCAGGTTGCTCTCTAGCTGCTTTAAAATAGCCTCTCTGTTTGGCAGGACAATTATCCAAGTCTCTGAATTATTGGGGCATTTGGGAATGAATGAAAGATAAAGGCCAAAGAACATGTCTTTGAAGTTCTATCGCCAGGAAAAATGAATCCGTCTGTCAGAAGATGTTTCTCATCTGTTCAAGTCATGTTCTGAGCATTTTGATCTGACTGAACCATTTCCCCAGTTTGGAATATTATGAATTGTTCATGAAAACAGTTTGCAAGCATTTTAAAGAAGGATTTCATATTCTGGGGAAGTAGAGTTAATCTGCACTTTTTATATTTTCAGGAAAGGAGTTAAGACCAGACCTTTTGACTGCTTTTATTTGGTTTTCAAAAATCCATTATTTTATTTCATTCACTAACCTAAATATCCCACAGGCCAAAAGGTGGTATATAAATCAAAATACAAAAATGAGAAATAAATAGACAACAGAGAAAAGGGAGGGAGGGAGGGAGGGAGGGAGGGAGGAAGGAAGGAAGGAAGGAAGGAAGGAAGGAAGGAAGGAAGGAAACTCTTAAAAGGCCAAAGAGTAAGGACACCTGTGGGGAAGGGTCAAAAGAGTCCAATATATATATATATCACACATCAAAAGTGGCAGGGCTTTGATTATGTGGCCCTTTTGGTTTTTTTGACACACATCCCACCCCATGGATGCCCCTGAAAAAGAGAAAACCATTTGAGAACCGGAAATGTTCCAGGACTCTTTGAATCTCTTATGGAAATAAAATAGGAAATTAGAGAGAGAAGAGCATGGGGTGCACTGGGGAGGCCAAGGCTAGCTGAGAGACATGTTGAACAAAAGCAATTGACTGTGCAAGATATTGTTGCATTTGTTCGCAGAACCTTAGGGTAAGATGATCAGGGTCCCCTTTGAGTAATAAAAGCAGCTCTTCTTCTTCTTCTTCTTCTTCTTCTTCTTCTTCTTCTTCTTCTTCTTCTTCTTCTTCTTCTT